ATAGAGCAACAGCCAGACAGAGACAGACAGAGACAACAGACACGACAGACAAACAGAGCGACGAGACAGACAGACACAGACAGAGACAGACAGATAGACACACAGCCAGACAGAGACAGACAGAGACAAACAGACAGACAGACAGAGACAGACAGAGACAGACAGAGACAGACAGAGACAGACAGAGACAGACAGACACAGACAGACTAATATCTCTGGCTTGGCACAGAGTTGACCCGCTGCCTTAATGCGATTCAGAGGGGACCACAAAATTGCATCGCTCATGATACCGCACGGAATGATTAGGCAATATTAGGCGTGCTCGATTACAGCGCGCTATTCAAAATATGCCAAACCTTAGGCCGCACATTTCCAACGTTAGTGTGAAAACGATGCTGCTGTTGAAACAAATAGCGTACAGCACCCGCGCTCAGCATTTGTGCAGGATTCGCAATCGTATCCATGCATACTCCACCTTCCACAGTGATTTTGTAAGAATAGCGTCCGAGTATTCTTCTCTATTCCAAAAGCTATTAAGGTATTTTATCAGGGGTACCCAGATATTCAGAGCATATTTGACAATAAACTAAAATATTCTGGGCTGCCGTTGGGTAATGGACAGCGCGTCGCGTATTGCCGCTTGCTCGATTCAATTCCCCGGCGCGGCAATTGATACAACGGAGCGAGTTTCTTGAATCTCCCCCACCCCCACCACCCGCTTCCGTTAACCCAGCCGTATAAGCTAACCGAAATGAGTACATTTCTGGACGTGTGGGTGGGAATACGTGGGCCAGTACCCCTCCCTCTTCCAAGACATGCGGATACGTGCAAGAGTGGGCCCAAACCCCCGTGAGAGATGGTGGGGGGGGGCTCCCTGGAGCTCCCTCGAGGTGGAGACCCCTTCCGCCCGCAGCGGTGTCAGTGAGCCATTGGCAGGGCTGCACCTTGACCCTCTACAAAGTAAACCCCTTCAGGAGCCCTGCACACACGCCGCCACCACACTGCCCTCCGCCCAGTTTTCACGCCGACGCGAACTGTCATCTGCCGACGCATTTCGGTTTAAATAAAAGAGTCGTACTCGCCACTCAGGAGCACTTGGCGACATGCTCTTGTCAGCGCATTTCCCACTGCCACGGCCGTTATCAATTTGAGGACTGTCTGTCTCGGTTCTCCGTCCGCCGCCGAAGCCCACACGGGTCGGGGATTCGGCTTCTCCGCCACTTTGCGTTATAGCCTGACGACTGCATGGCATTTCATTAAGCCCGCGTCTCGCCAGGGTGAGTGAAAACGCAATCTGCATCCGCCGCGAAACGTGGCCCCCGCTGGCACATTCAGCAGACAGCTCGGAGCAATCACTCATCGCTCAACTTCCAGCTCATCGGGCCCCCCTCCCGCCTAGCGCCCGAGCTCAAGGTCCTCCGAGCAGCCCGTACTCAAATCAGCACAAAACCATTTAATACATATCCGACTCGAGCTCTCCGCATTTCACGGACGTCGGGCGAGCCGTGCCTGGCGCCGTACAGCTCGCTCGCGACATTGCTGGCTAAATCGCCTCCACCGGGAGGAGCTCTCATAGCCCCCATCTAGAGAGACCCCCCACCCCCAGAGTGTATTTGGCCTACTCTTCCACACCGGCACTTGGAGTACCCACACACTTTTGGCCCACCACACGTGACTCGACCGATTGGGTGCGGTGGTTCCCATCTAGACGGTTGGGTGGACAGAGGCACTATTGCAGAAACTTGCGCCATCGTTCCAGCTGCCGCGCCAGGAGATCGAATCGGCTTCCCCATCTCCTTCATCAACCCTCACTCCCCCTTCCTCTGCCTCAGCTGCAGCTAAATCACACCGCAGCATACTGCATCGCAGCATACTGCGGTGTGATTTATAAACGCATTGACGAAAAGTGCATTACACAGCTGTTTTAATGGTAACTGATTAATTAGAAATATCAATTTGATGGTAATCAACATGATAGATAACGGTTAGCAATAACGCTAACTCCAAGGGGGGCTCTGTGTTTACACGCTCCGAGTGTTCCTCAGACTCGTGTGTGCAGATCAAGTGCCGTGATTAAAACTGGAGTCTCTCTAATCAAACCCACACGTTGCAGTTGTATACATCTCCGAAATACCACAAACCGACGATCTAACCCAAAATAAACCAATTATGAATCAAATATCAGAATGACTGCGTAGATTTATTGTGTGTGCGTGTCCCGAGATGCATCTTGGGACAATTAATCTCGCTCAACATCGGAAGAGGGGAGAGCTAAGTGAAAATGTATTATCCAGAGTTGTGTATCATCATCATGACCATCATCATTATTGTTATTATTTTGACGAAACAAGTGAAACTAAATCTTTGAATGCGCGGGAGAGAGTTGGAAGGATTGGTAGGGCAGTGGCTGGCTCCTCAACAAGGGGCGGTTCTGAAATGGCAACCCAAAAAGTGCACCGTGCGTGGATTTCAAAAGTCGAAATGTCAACGAGAATTCTTCCTCAAATGATTATTAAGGCTCACTACCTTCTGATTGGGGGCTAGCCTACTCTGCCGTTGAGCCACGTGAATGGAGTGAGCAAGTGTCTTGTATATATATGTGTGTGTGTATATACAGTATACAGTTGCGGTATATAGATTGTGGGGAACGATAATGTGGTGGCTATGTCGCTATGCTACAGAGCTGGTGACCAGTTTTGATTTCCGCTCACGGGCAACATCAATAACGAATATCTGGTCTCGGGCTTCTCCTCGGCTGACTCGGCCTTAAATTGGTAATTGGTGTGGTGTGAAAAACATCAGCATTGGGGAGACAAAGGTGGCAGGGAGTGGTCCTAGTCACCCACGCCCTTGTGAAACGTGCCAGTAGAAATAGGTGCTCACTGATGGCACTTGCCCCAACAGGCTGTTAAAGGCTACATGGGGGATATTTGTCTTGTTGTCTTTGGTGCAGCAATTCACAAACCTCCTGCGTTCACCTGAGCGTGTCCATGTGTGACGTTATGAGCAACGATGTGGCAGCTCACTGAATTATGATACCCTGTGACCCAGGTTCAATTCCCGACCACACACACCAGTGACGAATGGTACCAATGCCCTGATGCTGTATGAACAACATCACTGGGGGAGACAACGAGAGCGAGGAATGGTAATGACCGCACCGATTCAAAGGCGGCCGTGCGCCATAACAACTCTTGCAGCTTGCCAAGATGCACAGCTCCTCGTGAAC